GTTAGTATAGAGCATCCTTGGATGAAGGGGAGTCTAAATTATAAAAATGAAGGGCCTAGACCCCTTACTAGGGCAGATAATCAAGAAAAGACAAAAATAGGATGGGGTCATTAAAAAATCTTCTCAAGAATCACTGGACCAGAAAAAATGAAACTATATGGAAGCATTCTGGGATAGTGAAAATTCTAAATTGTTCAAATCATGACCTCCACTGGTAGGGTGGGGCCACAATAGAGAATCTAAGTTTTAAATATAAGAAAAATCTTTAAAAATCTTCTTAAGAACCACTGGGCCAGAAAAGCTGAAATTTATGTGGAAGCATCCCTGAGATTCTAAATTTTTGAATTAGACCCCCAGGGTATGGTGGGGCCTCAATAAGGAATCCAAGTATTACAATGAAATATATAGAAAAAATCTTAAAATATCTTCTTTTCAAGAACCACTTGGCCAGAAGAGCTGAAACTTTTGTGGAAGCGTCCTTGGTTAGTGTAGATTCTAAATTGTTCAAATCATGACCCCCGGGGTTAGGGTTTGCCCACAATAGAGAATCCAAGTTTTACATTGAAATATATTGAAAAAAATCTCTTAAAATGTTCTTATTAAGAGCTATTTGGCCAGAAAAATTGAAATTTATGTAGAAGCATCCTAGGGTAATATATTTCTAAATTCTTTTTATCATGACCCCTGGGGTAGGGTGGTGTCACATTAGGGAATCCAAGTATTACATTGAAGTATATAGAAAAATAAAATCTTTAAAAACCTTCTTTTCAAGAACCATCGAGCTAGAAAAGCTGAAACTTATAGATTCTACATTGTTCAAGTCATGACCCCCGGGGTAGGATGGAGCTATGTTAGGGAATCCAAGTTTTTCATTGAAATATATAGGAAAAATCTTTAAAAATCTTCTCCTCAGGAACTACTGAGTCAGAAAAGCTGAAACTTATGTGGAAGCTTTCTTAGCTAGTGTAGATACTAAATTGATCAAATCATGACCCCCAGGAGTCGGGTGGAGCCACAATAGGTATTATTATAATATACGTTCAGATGGACACGTCATCAAATGTACAAAATTTGCAATGTAATTTTTTTCAGTTGATTTGGAAGGTTAATTTGTTAATTGCATTTTAGATTGCTCAATTATTTTTGCTTTCTATCAATCCTAATGATTTTTATTATAAAAATATTTTTAGTGATCACACATCATAATTAGATCGTTAACTTCTATTTAAAGAACGTCATGATTATATTTGACCATATATATGTGAATTAAGTGTGGGCCGTTATATCTTTAAATTCTGATGACACCCAAAGCTTTCACAATAATTGACTTTTACAATCAGGCAACATAAAACAAAGACAAACGCCCGATTGACCGGCTACTGATCCTGCAGAATTCAGACCTAAATAAACAATTTGTTCTCAGGAACAATCTACAATCAATTATCAAGTCAGGCCGAAACTCGGAATCCTTCTCTTTTATTTTTGATAAAGTAAATAATTTATCAATGACACATACATTTGAGAGCTCTTAGTAATTTACTTCAAATCAGTCAAAAAACCAAATGTGTTTTCATAAATGCCATCTATTTTATAGATTTAAATAATGGAACGCTACAGTTCTTCATGAACATTATATATTTGATTTCAATGTATTTATATTTCAAAGGGTGCTAGTATTAACAAAAATAAATGTCCAAATGATAATAATATCATGATTATGTCTCTTTTGGGACTTAAGGAGTGATATTAAAATTTTGGGAAAAAAGTTAATATCATGCAGACATCGTCGTGAAGATTGGACTTGATTAATTGAACCGAGACTATGACAATATTGAATTTCTCCTCCACGTATAATGGTCACACATTCAAACAGCCGTCAGAGGCAATTTGGCGACTAGCAACAAAATGATCTGAGAATAGATTCTATGCTCATATTTTTAGTGTTTCTTTTGCAAAAGATTAATTATAAACTGTAGCTCACAATAAGCTCTATAGGTATGTAATCATTCCAGCGAATTTAGTAAGGATTGACACAGAATCTTAAACAACAGTGTTGAAAGTACATTGGTATATAAGAATGCTGTCAGTGAAAGGTATAAAGTTTACTGATTTATATGAAATATTTATGCAAAAATATTTACTTTTTCCAAAATTTTATGAATATAAATATGACAATTCCAAGAAATATCCGCGCGGGCTTATATTTGAAATTACATCAGAAGGTTTCTCTTATACATATTGAGAGGGGGGGGGGGGTAGTGTTTCAATTGGTCTTTTTGTTATTGCTTTTTTTTTTAATTAATTCAAATCTTAAACGAAGGAGAGATTTTCATCTCTTGATAGTAGAAGATATATTTAAATGTCATTTACAAGAAATTTACAGAAACTTTAATTATAATTGTCATTATATGTACTTACATTTAAATGAGATAACATGCATACTTATAGCACGCCAAATTCACAAAAATGGGCTAAACATAGTTTCACAGTTGGTAAACTAGATTTATCGACTGTAAATTATAGTATACGGACCGTAAACCATAGTTAACGACGTTAATCTACATGTATATTTTACATCTCTAAACCATAGTTAAGGTCACGATCTATTAAATGAAAGGTGCCTTCAGATTTCTGAAATTTGTTATACAAGTTCTTTCAATGATCCTTTACAAATATAGCTTGGCGAATTTAGGTGTATCGGGGCATAATTTTTAGGTACACTCAACGAAAAATGATACTTTAAACTGTAATTTTCAATGAAAAATGAAGAAAGTCAGGTAAAAATATGGGAGTTTTTTCCTTCCTAGAAAAAGAAAATGTATCAATATTGCCTACAGTCTCTTAGAAAACAGTTTTTCATATCTTCTTGACCTCTTCTTTAAAATGATATTAATTTGAATATAGGTATCGGGGTTAATTTTGACATGATTTCAAATTGAATTCCATGAAAATGTTTCATTTTCTAGGTAATTCTATAATAGCCGTAAAGTACGGGAAAAATTAAGTTTAAATCAATTATGACGTCATAATGGATCTAGCACCAAAAAGACAGTCTAAACTCATTTACTAGATCTTGACCTTAACGCCTTAATCTATGTTTCACAAGTGTAAACTATACTTTAACACCGAAAACAATCATTTGCGATTGCAAAACATAGTTTATCTGATAAATACGGTTTCACGATTTGTAAACTATGGTTTACAACTCTAAACTATAGTTAACGTGTGTTAATTATAATTTACAGTTGTAAACTATAGTTTACAAATATTTCAGGCGCCAAATTCACAAATTTATGATAAATATAGTTTTACAGTTGAGAAACACAGTTTAAGGCCAGAATCCATGGTTATGTATCAGAGATACACAGTTTTCTGTAAAACTATATTTCACGACTCTGAAGTATAGTTTACGATCAAAACTGTATAAAACAATAGTTTTGTCCGTAAATAATAGATAAGTTAATGTAGTTGCAAGATAAGATTTAGATGTAGTTGCATGATAAGATTTAGCTATACAATGATTATTTTCATTGGTTTTTAAATATATATATTTCTTGTTGACATTAAAAGTAAATGTTCTTTCATTTTAAAGCAAATCTAGTTGGAAATAAAAAGAAAATGACAGGAAAATTATTGATTAATTAAAATGCATGTTTTATTTAAAAGAGAAAGATAGGAAAAATTGCATTTTGACGGTTTGTAATCAAATGTTTCTTCACCAGCAACGAAATAAATCACTGACATTTATCCTTGCCGTCTTTCCAACCTTTTGCGCTGATCAAACAAAAATGACTGAGCATTGCTGGTATCAAAAGAGTTGTTGAAAGCTTGGCATAAATTTAAGATTATCAAGAAGAGAAATTACTCAAGTAATTATGTTTAAATGTTTCGTTTTTATATAGAACTTACGGCAATGACACACATTCAGTAATTTCATTTAGCGTTTGGTGCCGCGAGATTTTGAATTGAAAACTATCATTAACAGTTAACAAGTGTTTGGATTCATAAACTATATTTAAAACTCTAATCTTTAGTTTACGAGTGTGAATTATAGTTTATGAAGATACATGTAAACTATGATTGGCAAATGTGAATCACAGTTTAACTCTCAAAACTATAGTTTACGATCGTTAAGTAGAGTTTACGTCTGTTAAATACAGTTTATGAGTATTAATGACAGTTAAATATGGTTTACGACCGAAATCTATAATTATCGAATGTAAAACATAGTTTATCTGATTCTAATTCACGATTTGTGAAACTATGATTAACAACTCTTAATGGTTAACGAATGTAAATTATAGTCTACAAATGAGAATCTATATTTATCAGTAAAAAACTATTGTTAACGTTTATTTACAGACAGATAAACTTATATATAGTTTACAGATGAAAACTACTATAGTTCACAATCGACAAACCTAGTTTATCAACTGTTAAACTATGTTTATCTAATTTAATTTGAATTTGGCGTGCCATACATACTATCATTCTCTCTGATAATCAATAAACGGAACCCTGCGACTATCCTAGGTCGTCTAATCACTGTATAATGTGAAGAGCGCCAAGAAGGTTTCAATACAAACTTTAACCTCCACTAATTAGCCAAAGTTTAGCGCTTGATGAAAAATGATAGAAATAATTAATGATCGAATGAAACCGAGTTTAACACTGAGGATCAATTCAGTGCTATAAAAAGCGACGCTAGTCAAACCTGGAGCCGTTATCAGAAGGAGATCAGGCGTGTCCGCTTCAGTACTCCAAACGTTCAGCCTTTCCGACAAGTTTCACTTATATAAATTTTGTCAATCTTATTAAAATCTGTATCAGAAAGGATATACTATTTTTCAGTGATCATAAGACTATGAAAATGTTTTACTATGGCAACGATGATTTCAAGGAGATTACGTTTTTTTCTCTGATTTTATCATCATATTGATTTCAGGTTATAATGATTACAAGATATTAATGTACGGAAAAAGTCCTGTACCAGAAGCAGCATGGCCAACCTCAGTGCCGAGAACAAAACATTCTATAATGAAAGTCACTTCAGTGAACTGGATTACTTGGAGCAGAATCTCGGGGTCCGGCATCTGGACACGCCCTCTCTTGTTATTCTGACCACTGTGTATTTAAGCATTTTTCTATCAGGGACTGTTGGGAATATATGCACGTGCATCGTGATCGCCAGGAACCGTCACATGCACACGGCTACCAATTACTACCTATTTAACCTATCCGTTTCGGACTTAGCCACGTTGATACTAGGTACGTTTACTTATAATCCCCTGATTTGTTTTTGTTATTTTTGATAGATTGATACAGCAAACAATAACTGATCTATATTAGTATATAACCATACATGTAAGAAATATTGGCATCAAAACAATTCAGCTGATGACCAAAAGGTATATATGCTGACGCTGGATATATACATGTATATATTTTGCGAATATTTCAATTTAATTTTGCTCCTTTTCTCTTTCTCTCTCCTACTCAAATATAACTAAAATGGATCTTTATTCAGCAAATGGATGAATTATTGTTAAATGCCGTCGAGTTCTCTATCAATTTCCGGAGGTTGATGTGATTATAATTTACCGTTACATCTGTGTCAGATCTGAAGCACGCCGCGAAACAGCTAGGACATGCAATCCAAGTATATCAGGCATCGGCACATTCTTTTTAATTATTCAATTAAGGGATCGTTGCTAAAGATTTGATTTAGCACTGAATTTATCTTTAAAATTAAAGTTCATTACTTTATAATAAAAGTGTACTATATGACACTAGGTACGCCATAATAGATTTTAATTAAGTTGTTTGAAAGCAGGATAAGATGCAAAAAATAATTAAATGAGAGTAAAATATTGACAAGTGTTGTTGCTTTTATTATTATACATGTATAATGTCTCCACATTACGAAAACCTTTCTTACAAGCTTATTAGCAATGCCAAGGGTACCTTTTGTGTAGACGAAAAACACCAAATGTATATTCACAAAGTAAACGTTCTATTTCTTGATGCAAGTAATGAACTTTTCAAGCACTCTCAAAGCTCTAGCCATAATTTTGCCGGCTAATGTTTCAAGAACTCAAAGTAATCTATATACATATAAACACATGATGCTCCTTATTATTAGTGTCATTTCAACATCAGAAAGCATCACCTGTAAGCTCTTACAGAATCTTATGTCTTTAGTATCAGCCATAGCTGCTATGTACTCTGAAGCTAATTTTAAAAAGGCACTGTCGAAAATCCTATACCCTATACAAGTATTGCTCTATACCACGAGTATCCTCTGTCCAACGAATATCGCTCTATATCCTGAGTATCCTCTGTCCCACGAATATACCGCTTGATATGACCTATCCTACCTGAATCGTTCTGTCCCAAGAATATTGCTCTGTACCATGAATATCCTCTGTCCAACAAGTATTCCTCTATACCAAGAGTATGCCCTATCACAAACGTATCGCTCTGTCCCACGAGTATTGCTCTGTCTAACGACTATCGCTCTGTCCCACGGGTATTGCTGTCCAGTGAGTATCATGCTGTCCCAAGTGTATCACTTTGTCCCACGAATACCGCTCTGTCCCACGAGTATTGCCCTGTCCCTATACGACGTCAACAAACATCACAACAATAATAAAAAATCCTCAAGACACCGACTGACAATTTATTTTTCATCTCAGGAAGAAAATAATGTGTTTTTATCATCTGTTATTTGTGTACGCTTTCTTCACAATCTGTTCACTTTTAGAGATATTTATCTGATTTGTATCGTGGATTAAAATTAAGATGGCTGCGAGTGAAGGAATAAATATTCCTGGCTGAGCTAGGAAAACGAAAGACCTTTATTACTTTAAACTTTCTTCTATTTTGTACATATTCTCAAATCATTCTTGTTTTCAAAGGAAAGATGCCTAGTTTCATTTTAAACTGAAGATTAATTAAATATGTCAACCGATGTTTAGGAAATAAGTTATTTTTTAAATAGATCATCATTATGAGACAGAATGAGAAACATTTGTTCGAGTTTAAGAAGTCAGTGATCGACATCTATTGCAAAAGTGCTAAATCTCCGATACTAGTACATATATTAAGCACTTATTTAATTCAAAATTTAAAGGAGAAAAACAAAAAGAGCAAATTTTCCCTTTCTAGATTAAGCAAGCATTTGTAATGAAAATTTCTTTAAAATAATAGAGTATAAAGAGTGAGTTTATTGACACTGCATATGTTGTTAATATGTACAGTGGAACGAGCAACGGATGTTGATCATATTACAAGAAGTTACACTTACAAAACTCGAGTTTCATAATTGATAAGTCAAATGTAAAGCTATTTTGTTTTGTTTCATGTATCCCGCCTCCTATCCTGTACCTGTCTATCTTATCTGTTTCTTTTGCAAGTAAGAGACAGGAATTATATACAGCGTAGATGTTAATTTTTACAAGATCTTAATTACCAGGATAACTGACCCTATGACCTTGAGCGTGATGTTTGATTTATTCTAAGATTAATCTACATTTTCAGTGTAAACGGTTTCTTTGATCAATAAGAGATGGGTTTTGATATCAAGCATGAACGTTGCTTGTCATAAAGCCTTTCATAAAACACCACGTCGATGACTTTGTGACCTTGACGTTAGACCTACACTGAAATAAAATCATTTTGCCATAGATATGTTGTACCATGAGAGGAAGAAATCAAATATTTTGAGCAGTTTTATTCTGAAGACTATTTAAGAAATATCAGGGAAATCGACTTTGTGTCCTTACATGTACGTTGACCCATTGAAATTATAGACCTTGAGAAACATCAGAGGTTAAATCAAGTACCACTGAGTAAGGATTCCGTAGACCGGTCACACCGGCCCTGTGCCTATTGTTATAAATCGGATAAACAGAGAAATCCGTCATTATACCCCACGCAACAAGTTGCGTGAGGTATAATGTATTTGACCCGTCCGTCAGTCAGTCAGTCAGTCAGTGTGTCAGTCAGTCAGTCAGTCCTTCAGTCCTGTTTTTTTTTTTGTCAGCGCAACTCCTCTTAAACCGCTGCACATGATTTCGTCAAACTTGGCAGATATTTAGGACACAATGTGTAGATGTGCATATTACCAGGAAATTCCGATTCCGTTATTTTTCTGGGAATTTCGGCACTTTTCAACTTAGATTTTTCGCCATATCTTGAATATAGAGATGAACAGTTTGTTAGTGCAACTCCTCTTAAACCGCTGCACAGAATTTGGTCAAACTTGGCAGATATTTGGTACACAGTGTGTAGATGTGCGTATTACCAGGAAATTCTGATTCCATCATTTTTCTGGGAATATCGGCACTTTTCAACTTAGATTTTTGGCCATAACTTGAATATAGAGATGAACAGTTTGTTAGTGCAACTCTCTTATACCGCTGCACAGAATTCGGTTAAACTTTGCAGATATTTAGTACACAGTGTGTAGATGTGCATATTACCAGGAAATTCTGATTTCATTATTTTTGCCTTAAGAGTTTTGCCTATTATTGAAGAAATTTTCCAGCTAGGTAATAAGGAAATCCACTGGAATCAGCTTTTGTAATGAAATTTTATGTGAAACATGACCTTAAAAGACCCCTATTGATTTTGAGATCAAAAATATTAATGATTTAACACACATACACACAAAATCTTCGATAGTCCCCCCCCCCCCCCCCCCCCAAATTGGTGCTTTGCCTTAAATAATTTCATATACAGTATATAAACAAATTCATAAGACTACATCATAATTTTGTTTCCATCAATTATTTAAATGTGTAAATTGTCATGTGTTGGACATGGACTTACATGTACACTCATTAACAAATCGAAATCACTGAGGAATTTAAATAACAGTTTGTCAGCATAACTCCTGCACTGAATTTCCTGAAACTTTGTAGGTATTTCAGACATAATGTATAGATTTGTATATTACCAAGAAATTTGATTCCATTATTTATCTAGAAACTTCAGCCCAATTAAATTTGTAACATACAAAGATTTGAATGTCCTTATATGCAAGAAGTTTTGATGTGATGATTTTTTGCAAGTAATGCACCTTTTTGAATTATACTGTGTAGTTAAAATGCACTGTGCCATTCATTACGTGTTGCATTGTCGAGTTTTGGGGAGAGCGTGGGGTATGTGAGCTTGCTCATTTTTTCTTTCATTACGAAAATAATGGTCTAAGAATTTATGTGAAAAACGTCTGTAATATTTGACCTAATGACAGATTGTATTTGAAAACAAGGTTATTGTACCATAAAATTTACAAAATGTTGACTTTAAATGCGAGGCCCCTGAATCTTCAACTTTTTTGCCAGCAGCCTGCCTCGATGGGGTCTTTTATTTCGAGCTCATGGGATGAAAAGCAACTTGTATGTGCTTTTGCATGACACAACACCTTTAGATCTTTAAATTTTACATCATGTATTCTGAACAACAAGAGATTTATAATTTACATTTATTGACTGGGTTCGAGGGCAACATGCGTTTTGTCGGACCCAAGAACCAAACTGTTTGCCTGAAGCCGTTAGGCCGCAGGCAAACAGTTTGGTTCGAGGGATCGACAAAACGCATTTTGCCCGAGAACACAGTCAATAAATGTTTTGTTGTACCTTTTACTTTTTATTTTGACATAACATGATGTAAATTTTGTTTACCCGCACCGCGGTTTAAACTTGGTAAATTCCGTAAAGTTCTGTCAAACTCCAACGAATGCAAATAAGATACAGCTGACCCCGCCCATACTGTGACGTAAGCGGTCCAACATCTCATCGACAGGTCCAATATATCGCTCTGCGGTCAAACATCGATTTTTTCTATGACCGCTCAGTAAAACATTGAAAATGTTAGACTTTTTTAGTATAGAATTGTATAGGAAACAATTTTTAATGGATAACAATGGGTATTCTTTTCTACTGAATCTTTTATAACATACATAGTAGGCCTAATAAAATGTGACCTGGCTTCTAACCCTTTTCCAGAAAAAAAGTTGCCCTTTGTCTTTTAATCACGAGTTTTATTCCTTGATATTTATCATACGTATTTATGTCTCAAAATACCTTTTATTTTTAGTTAAATCAAAATTGTTAAGTTCTTAGAACCTTGGTACATTATTTAGCTTGTTTTCCTTGCAAAAGATCTGTTAGAAAAATAATAGAAATACATGTACATGACTGTACTTGTTCTATCCTATTCAAATACAAAAGTTAGATCTACAGAAACGGTGTGTACTTTAGAAC